ACAGTGTTTCTGATGTTTGAAGAATTGCTTGAGTGACATGTTTGGATAGTTAAGGATAATCTGAAACCATAAAGATTGTTCATGTTTCTTGTCTGGCAATACCTGAGGAAAACCTGAGTGTTCCAATCATTGTGAAATTGACAGTTAAGGTAAGAGCTGTTAGTGTGGGCGTAATTTTGAGTTTGCAAACTGACAACATGCACTGATATTATGTATTAACCTCATTTGCTGAGTAGTGATTTGAAATCATGGAGTAATTTTTCATTCAATTCTCATATTTGTATAGCTGTTAAACAGACTAAAAGAGTTAGTTTGTTATATATCACTCCATCAAATGTCATGGCCTTTGTTCTGGATATGGCTGAAATAGTTTCTGTTTGTTTACTATCCAGGTACCAAACCCCCTAGACCATGGGTCCGAGTAGTCCTGTTGGTACCCAGGTCCTATGTAGGACCCACTAGACACATCCCTGTAAGCCCTAGTTGAATTCCTGTTTTGGCAATTATGTGGTACTTATTATTAGAGGTGGAAATTTGAAGAATTTCTAATTTTAATTTTTTTTATAAGATTTTATGCAATAGTTATTTTCTTTATAAAAAAGTCTGTCTGCTTATTTATCTTACTGACCGCCTCCTTGGTCTAGTGGTAGGTACGGTACGGGGTTGGCCGCGTCATACCAAACGACTTTAAAAGATGGTACTTGTTGTTACCCTGTCTGGCGCTCGGCATAAAGGGGCCAAAACAAGGACTGGTCGGCTGGGAGTCAGTATACTGTGTCTGAGTGGAGTATCCAAGTTAAACTGCAGCATGGTATCTTAGTGTGCTAGCACTATAAATTGGCATTAGTCCGGACTAGTACTAGTACAAGCAGACACACACACACACACACACACACACACACACATACACACACACACACGTGCATGCAAGTCGCTCTATAAATGCAATAATCTTGGACACGATGTTAAACCCCATTTCACCTCACCTTATTTATCTTACCAAAAGAGTGTAATTATGCATTGAGGACATGTTTCTCATTTTCAAGGTTATTATATTAGTATCAATTTACTTCTGCTTTTTAAGGACTATATCTTAAAAAATGTTCTGTGACAAATAGCCTAATCTTCCATGAAGTTGTGTAAGCAATTAACATGCTCACTAAATGCCACTTGATATAATCAAATTTTATTTTACCAGAGAAGGCAATGTAGAAATAGGGTCAGCATGCTCTACATTTACATTAACACAAGACAGGCAGTCCAACACGAGCAGTTTCACATCTGAGGCAGTGTATTGGTCTAGTTACTATTGTTTGAGTGGGTGAAAGGTGGAAAGTGCAAGATCTGGCACCAATAACAGCTGGAATGGCCAATGTGTAGTATATTTGGCAGGGCCTAGGGTTATAAAACCTTACTGTCTTTACTGGTGTCGACAGAGGCATTCAGGCTATCTCCAGTGCTTTACTATTGTGACAAATTGGTGAGTTGTTATGGAATGAAGTGGTATGCATGTTTTCACTGATTTAAAAAACAATACTCGCTAAGAAGGTCTTTTGGAAAATAGATGATACCCTCTTTTTGTAGTGGAACAAATGTGTGCAATTTAAGCTTGTTTATCCTAATGTTGAATGGTATGTCTGCAGTAGTTATGGTTTCGTTACATCCAGGATTTTCACCATTGATGCCCAATCAAGTATGTATTTGTGTTATACATGTGAAACAAGGGGATTTTGAGAGAAGTTCAAATATTCTTTTCACATATTACCCTACAGTAGGTAGTTGTGATGGGTTTGGGCATGATGATTTCTGATGCATCGAGGTTTGCAAATTACGCCAACAAAACCCGAACCATAGTGAGTGAGTGAGTGAGTGAGTGAGTATGGTTTCACACTGCTTTTAGCAATATACCACCAATATCACAGCGGGGGACACCAGAAATGGGCTTCACATCCATGTTGGGAATTGAACCCGGGTCTTCGGCGTGATGAGAGAATGCTTTAACCACTAGGCTACCTGACCGCCCCTTTCCATAGTCATTATATAGAACATCAATACCAGAGAACAATCATTTACGATTTGACTATATCACAAGCATGTGTTTATGAATCACAATTCAAATACATCATTGATGAGAGGATGTTTATATAATTACTTTCCATTAATGTCTTTTAAAGTTTTTAGACCATATTAATTATTTAATGTGATGCGGGAAACATGGCTTGCAGGTCATAACTGATCATCTCTTTATGTGAGACTGTGGGTCGTACAACTATTATAGACAATACATGAGAAGGCTCTTGTTGCTGTGTGTGCCAGTGTGGGTAGTATAACTATCATAGGCCGTACATGAGAAGGCTCTTGTTGCCTTGTGTGCCAGTATGGGTAGTATGACTATCATAGGCCGTACAAGAGAAGGCTCTTGTTTCTGTGTGTGCCAGTGTGGGCAGTATAACTATCATAGGCCGTACAAGAGAAGGCTCTTGTTTCTGTGTGTGCCAGTGTGGGTAGTATGACTATCATAGGCCGTACATGAGAAGACTCTTGTTGCCTTGTGTGCCAGTATGGGTAGTATGACTATCATAGGCCGTACAAGAGAAGGCTCTTGTTTCTGTGTGTGCCAGTGTGGGCAGTATAACTATCATAGGCTGTACAAGAGAAGGCTCTTGTTGCTGTGTGTGCCAGTGTGGGTAGTATAACTATCATAGGCCGTACAAGAGAAGGCTCTTGTTTCTGTGTGTGCCAGTGTGGGTAGTATAACTATCATAGGCCGTACATGAGAAGGCTCTTGTTGCTGTGTGTGCCAGTGTGGGCAGTATAACTATCATAGGCCGTACATGAGAAGGCTCGTGTTGCCTTGTGTGCCAGTATGGGTAGTATAACTATCATAGACCGTACATGACAAGGTTCTTGTTGCCTTGTGTGCCAGTGTGGGCAGTATAACTATCATAGGCTGTACATGACAAGGTTCTTGTTGCTTTGTGTGCCAGTATGGGTAGTATAACTATCATAGGCCGTACATGTGACAAGGTTCTTGTTGCCTTGTGTGCCAGTGTGGGCAGTATAACTATCATAGGCCGTACATGAGAAGACTCTTGTTGCTGTGTGTGCCAGTATGGGTAGTATAACTATCATAGGCCGTACATGAGAAGGCTCATGTTGCCTTGTGTGCCAGTGTGGGTAGTATAACTATCATAGGCCGTACATGAGAAGACTCTTGTTGCTGTGTGTGCCAGTGTGGGTAGTATAACTATCATAGGCCGTACATGAGAAGGCTCGTGTTGCCTTGTGTGCCAGTGTGGGTAGTATAACTATCATAGGCCGTACATGAGAAGACTCTTGTTGCTGTGTGTGCCAGTGTGGGTCGTATAACTATCATAGGCCGTACATGAGAAGGCTTGTGTTGCTGTGTGTGCCAGTGTGGGTAGTATAACTATCATAGGCCGTACATGAGAAGACTTTTGTTGCTGTGTGTGCCAGTGTGGGTAGTATAACTATCATAGACCGTACATGACAAGGTTCTTGTTGCCTTGTGTGCCAGTGTGGGCAGTATAACTATCATAGGCTGTACAAGACAAGGTTCTTGTTGCTTTGTGTGCCAGTATGGGTAGTATAACTATCATAGGCCGTACATGTGACAAGGTTCTTGTTGCCTTGTGTGCCAGTGTGGGCAGTATAACTATCATAGGCCGTACATGAGAAGACTCTTGTTGCTGTGTGTGCCAGTATGGGTAGTATAACTATCATAGGCCGTACATGAGAAGGCTCATGTTGCCTTGTGTGCCAGTGTGGGTAGTATAACTATCATAGGCCGTACATGAGAAGACTCTTGTTGCTGTGTGTGCCAGTGTGGGTAGTATAACTATCATAGGCCGTACATGAGAAGGCTCGTGTTGCCTTGTGTGCCAGTGTGGGTCGTATAACTATCATAGGCCGTACATGAGAAGACTCTTGTTGCTGTGTGTGCCAGTGTGGGCAGTATAACTATCATAGGCCGTACATGAGAAGGCTTGTGTTGCTGTGTGTGCCAGTGTGGGTAGTATAACTATCATAGGCCGTACATGAGAAGACTTTTGTTGCTGTGTGTGCCAGTGTGGGTAGTATAACTATCATAGGCCGTACATGAGAAGGCTCGTGTTGCCTTGTGTGCCAGTGTGGGTAGTATAACTATCATAGGCCGTACATGAGAAGACTCTTGTTGCTGTGTGTGCCAGTATGGGTAGTATGACTATCATAGGCCGTACATGAGAAGACTTGTGTTGCTGTGTGTGCCAGTATGGGTAGAATGACTATCATAGGCCGTACATGACAAGGCTCGTGTTGCTTTGTGTGCCAGTGTGGGCAGTATAACTATCATAGGCCATACATGAGAAGGCTCTTGTTGCCTTGTGTGCCAGTATGGGTAGTATGACTATCATAGGCCGTACATGAGAAGGCTCTTGTTGCCTTGTGTGCCAGTATGGGTAGTATGACTATCATAGGCCGTACATGAGAAGGCTCTTGTTGCCTTGTGTGCCAGTATGGGTAGTATGACTATCATAGGCCGTACATGAGAAGGCTCTTGTTGCCTTGTGTGCCAGTATGGGTAGTATGACTATCATAGGCCGTACATGAGAAGACTCTTGTTGCCTTGTGTGCCAGTATGGGTAGTATGACTATCATAGGCCGTACATGACAAGGCTCTTGTTGCTTTGTGTGCCAGTGTGGGTAGTATAACTATCATAGACCGTACCTGGGAAGGCTCTTTTTGTTTCTGAGCTAGAAATACTGCAGACATCTAATAATAATACAGGTAAAAATGTAAATTAGGCCGTAATGTAAAATAAAACCAAAGATGCACAAAATAGGTGCAAATGTTGATGATTGTATTTTCAGGCCAGGTAGTGAGTGACCATGGTTTTATACCACTTTCAGCAATATTCCAGCAACATCATGATGGGTCACACCAGAAATAGGCATGAACTTTTTTCAAGTCATTCTTATCATCTTTTACTATTTTTCAGGAATACCTAAGCCATGATGGAACGTCTGGAAAAGTTTCAAATAATCTTCAATAATCCCTCGGCAACTTACTGTGCTGGCGATACTGTGTATGGGTATGGCTGGGTCGTGGTCAAAGAGGCAGTGTATGTTCAAAGTAAGTTTTTCTTTTTCATTATGGCGATTATCACATTATGTTTCCTAAAATACCTTCTTTCAGGAGAAGGATAAGTTAAATATGTCCATTGGATATAAGTAGGCTTGCATCTACTTAGTCAGAAGGATAAAGGTGTTAAATGACATTGGCACTTGTTACATGCCTAAGATATTGATTTGTGCTCAAGGATCTAGCACAGTTAAAAAGAGAACGTCTTTTTCAAATTCTTTTTCAAAAGTCATTTTCACTTCATGTTAAGCAATATACTGCATGCCAACATTTGGCATTTTGCATTTCCTATTTATTGAGGTCATTTAGAGGGCAAGTGTTGTTCATTCTGACCATAACGGGCTGATGAGTTATTTTGTCATGGTTATGACATTATTGAGCTCATGAAAAGATTCAAAATTATTTGTGGTAAACAGTTTTGTGATCAGTAGGATTTTGAACCATAGTTTCTGCATATACAGAAATTGTCAGAACTGCTTGACATTTCTTTACCCCCTACGCTGTTCTTTGTGGGTACTTACAGTGTGCTAAAAAGAGGTATCTGTACCTTCCTACTTTTTGTTTACGTTGACCAATCTGCCGTATTTCCTAGAGACTTGGCATGCTTTGAATGTCACTATCCTAAATTTACTTAAAGAGAAAGAAGGTGGCTATAAGACATGGAATTTTTCAAGGGACATGTGCTTAATATGTGCAAGAAAGAAAAGACAATTGTTTATTTGCTGGTTTCATGAATACTTTCTGTTATTGTTCTTTCAGAGTTTTGGTAAATTGTTTCTTTTAATGTGAAAAGCATCTAAAATCCCGATGGTACTCACAATTTGCGTTGTATTATGTATCAAAACATAGAGTCACCGTTTATGTTATCATGTTAATAAAAACAGAGATTATAATTCCATTATTTGGGGAATTTGTCAGCAGACCTAGAAATGATAAATTACATCGACTGCCTCTTGAAAGTTGGATGGCATGATTACATTAGTAGGGGGAATTAACATAATCATTGAACAGAAATAAAGCAAACCTGGATATTGTCAGGATGAATACAGTGCAGAATTCAATTCATTGCTAAGCCGAAATTGCCTGAATTAGTGTTACCAAATTTGGTGGTCTCCCCACTAAACCAGTTTATATGGTGAACAACCTCCAGACTTTGCCAAGAGAAACAAGGATCCCATCAAAGGAATTTTAAGGGCTTATTTCCCTACACAAAGTATGTCTAGTAGGAACAGAAACCAGAGGCTAGTCTCTTAGGAGGTTCAGAAAGTGATGAACTACAGTTTACGGTGGTTGGTGAGACTGCAGAAATGGCAAGCAACTTGTATAAACTGTTTATTTCCTGGCTAGCTTACTGAAGATCTTGGATGGTGATTCACACTCAACATAAAAAGCTCATTGAGAACCTGTTCATATCATACCTGTGTACATGGAGGGTTTTCTTGTGAGGTCATAAACCTGTGCCTGATATGTTTGCTGGAAGAAAGAAAGATGAGCAAGACGAACATGAAAATAGAAGTAATAGAGTTAGACATAGTTTAATGATAAGCTTATCATTACTTTAGTTAAAGAAATTTTATTGGTTTTCAAATGAAAAATATGTTTACAAGTGTAATGAAAAATATGTTTAAGATTGATTAACATGAATATTACTAAATTTAAATAAGTCTACATAGAAAAGATTTAAACGTATTGGATTATGATATTTTATTTTTTTGCAAATTCTTTTTGTGTGCAAAATGTTTGTGTGTGAAAAATTGAGTATGAGAAGATGTTCATTACTACCTCACTTGAATTGAATTAGCCTGTCCACTGTCCGTCTATCTGTTAAATGTCTGTTTCTTCTCTGACCTGGCTGAAGGGATGAGGGAGCAGACTTGAACCATAATAATACTCGTGGCATTAAATTCAAAACATTTTGATTTGACAAAAAATCAAATTGTGATGAGATCTTTAAGATTGAGCTTGCCGTAATAGCCACATTGAAACTATCATTCCTTACTCTTAATCCACAGTCATTTCTACATGTTTAAGTGTAATTTTAGGCAGTGACAATGTGGTATGCCCGTTTATCAGAAATGTTAGTTTATGATATGTTGCAAACATTTCATAGCAGATTGGGTGGGCTCAGAGCCTTGAGATTCTATTTTTGTTTTATGGCCATATATCAGACAAGCAGACACCAATGTCTGCAAAGTCTGTGTTAGTATTGTTACTAACATTCTTCTTTTCCTGATTACACCTGATTTAATTAAACCATTCTTGTAAGGCATTAACCCTGAGGAGTTCCTGGTTAGACTACGTCCCCAGCACCTATGCTGGTTGTAGGAATTAAGCAACCAAATGGATCAGGTGATCAGTGACTTGAGTGACTGCATCGCATTGTACCCGGTGGGTCATTGCCCACATCATCGACCACTGGACTATCTGGTCTAATGTTGCTTATGACAGGCTGCTGTCATACAGCTGGAGTCCAAACAACAACAAAACAAACAAAACTTCATGTGTTGTCTGTATCACTAGATATGTTGCATAAAATATGCCTCCTAGCCAGTAAGAAAAGAATTCCTGGTTAGAATAAGTCCCCAGCACCCAAAGCAACCAAATGGATTAGGTGGTCAGCGACTTGAGTGACTGCATCTCTTTGTACCCGGTGGGTCATTGCCCACATCATCGACCACAGGACTATCTGGTCTAATGTTGCTTAAATTATGACAGGCCACTGTCATATAGCTGGAATATTGCTGAGTTCAAACAACCACAAAACAAACAAAACTTTTTGCAACATATATTTATTGTCTGTATCACTAGATACATTGCGCAAAATATGCCTTCTAGCCTGTTAGAAAAGAATTCATCAAAAGTTAGATAGTTTCAATCAAATTGTCAAGTTCATGGAATCCTGATCCACTGAAAGTAATGTCAATGGAAGCAGTGTCCTTCTACTTCTCAAGTACCTTCTAACCATGTCAGAACTGACACCTTATTTATGTAATTCTTCCACATAGTTAACCTCATTACCCTTGTCTAGACTTAACAATATTTTTTTCAAAGACCATCTTGATGCAGAAGAAGTTAAAACCAGTTTTTACAACGGTCGTTCTAAATCAGTCAGAGCAAGCGACCTGATCAAAGCTGGCTACTGATATTAAGCATACATACTTAGCATGGATCTTGTCAAATAACAGACTGTGGAGCTCTGTATACATCCAGTGTTGAAAGATCAAAGGATTACTAAACAACTGTCTGACAGATACTTTAACATGTAAAGAGCATTTACGTTGGTGACAACTCTCGTTACACTTTCACCCCATGCTTGTTGAAACTTCATTTCATTTAATCTCAATGTAATGGCTCTGATAACTTATACATGTTTAGGAACTACAGTATTGGGGCCATGGCATAGAATGCACCCGTCTTTATTCAAGCTTTCAAGCATTTTCTAAAAATTAGAGTTGGTGACTAGTTTTTATGATTGCTCAAACTAAGAAAAGTAGGAAGGTACACAGCACTAGAGATCTCATTCAGCAGCCCCTTACAGACTGATTAAGGGGAAACAACACTCCAAGTGTGAAAGTATTGAAATATGGATGGGCTTTTCCATTGACGATTCAAAATTTGCTTATTATGGACTATAATTTCAATGGTTATGTTCGGTGCTATTCTCGCTGCACTGTGCGAAGTGACACCTATCAGAGTATTGAAGAATGAGAAGCTGTATATCATAATAAAGGTGTACAATAAAGAGCTGCAGGCAAACTGACATGTGTTTTGTTGTTGATTAATGCATATGTGACTTGACAGTGTGAAGCTATTGGTCAACATCATATCAGGTACAATAAAAAAACTACATAGCATCCCTTAAGAGCATTGAGGTAAACTAACAGGTGATAACAAACTTATTAATGTAACAATGAATAATCAATCAACATATTATCGGTTGATCCTTTGATTGATGTATTTGGCAACTCTACTGATCATTCCTCTCATGCTGTGCTGCCACGAACATATTACATAACATGTAGTACATTCATCGCATCAGACCTGAATTTATAACCCAATCGTAGATTAAATAATTACCCCAGACACAATGCGAACCACTGAGTGCTTTATTACCTTGACATCCTCATAGGCAGCGGTGAACGTAATCGAGATATTTTGCAGTCTTTGTCAGGTAATCTGAGTAGTTCTACCACTAATTATGCCTATGATAAAGTCATTAACTGAGCATCAAGCGAATAATGACAAATACACAGGTGGAGAGTTATTCCATGAAACATGGATAACAAGAAGGGAGTAGTAATTGTTGTATTGCATGCAAATAGCCTGAAAAATAATGCTCGTTGCTGTTGAGGATATGAACTGAATTTCATTGTTACAAAATAATAACTACCCATATTTTCTCTATACCAAACTACATAATTGTACATACACATTTACACAAGCAGATGAATTTGCAAGGTGGAAGGTTATAGTAAGCATTATCCACTCCATCTTCCCGAGGCATGGGGGTTATCTGACTGGAAAAGTCCAGTGTCCTGTCTTGCCAAACTAGGCTGGAGTTTCTGGGCTCAATCGTAGTGCCATCTATGCCCCTCCTAATTTTATTGACCAGTCAGATTCCACCTCTCATATCACTTGCATTTGCTTCAAACAAAATGGCAACACCTATAGTCAAGACGATCTGATCAATGATCAAGATATATGTTTGTAAGTCTTATTTTGTGAAGTGCATCAAATCATGTGACCACCTTGATTAAAACCATGAAAAGATTTGGAAAATATTTGTACAACCCCAGGTGACGGTACACATCCTTTGCAAATCCTGCAGTGGAGCGAAATCTGCACGTTGAAATCCATTTTGTTTACAGACCGGATGTCATTTCGTTACCCGAATATGATTGGACTATGCATAGACTCGTTAGTCTGGCCAAACTATAACTCCATAATTGCAGCCTAGTTTGGCAAGGGTGGAAACTAGACTTTTACAGTCA